AAGCAGATTTGAACTTAGCATCCAAAAACACATCCAGCAGTGTGGTCTCATTTCAAATGGCCACTTTGACTTGGGATCCTTCCCTGGTAAGAATAAAAAATGTACGCATAACCCATCAGTACTAACTAGAATATAGAGCAGGAAAAAATACAAATAAAAATTAAAGCTGAAAAAATAGAAAAAATAAAATAGAAGAATTCCCACAACAAAATGCTGAGATAAGAGGGATAGGAAAATAAATGGAAAAATTATGAATTCTTGCGCACATCACGCGCACGGAAGATCGGTCATCTCCACGGGACGTGATAAAAAAATGAAAATCACAACAAAATCTGCAACGAGCGAAAAGAAGGAGCATAAATATCTCAAACAATCATCCCGTAGGATGAGTCATCAATGCGAGCTGTCGATCGATTGATGTCGAAGACTGGTGCAGTGAACAGCACCCAGGTGCAGTGAACTGCTCCCAGGTGCAGTGGACTGCTCCCAGACGTAGTGGACTGCTCCCTGGTGCAGTGGACGGCACCGACGGTGCAGTCCACTGCACGAGAAGTGCCATCCACTGCACCTGGGTGCAGTGGACGGCACCTAGTAGACGAGTGCTACGGAGCGGAAGGCATTGAAGAGCATCTATCGGCGGTGCGTCACACTTCTAGCATTAGAGCGCGGCACGATTTGCTCGCCATTTTCAAAAAAGCAGCTACGAAGCGAGGCCAACTAAATCTAGAGATGCGGTCCTTGGCGTTCTACCAAGGACCGCACCTCTAGATTAAACTCAACCAACGGAATGGCTGCTTTCAGCTGCTTTTTCGAGCCAGCGCGCCTGCGCGCCGGTTGGCGGACTATGAAGGCAGCCAATGGTAGCTCACCGACTTTTTCTGCGCTTTGGTGATTTGATCAGGGCTCGACATACGAAATCCATATGAAAACGATCGTAATAACTTTTGTGAGAGGCACTTAATTAGAACTTGCGGTGAAAATGTAGCTGGGGGCCAGCGAATACGGTCGTTTTGTTTCGGAGGAGTAGCCGACTTCATTTGTTCGCAGAGATGCTTTTTAGCCAAAGGAGCATTGTTTTTACATTTCTTCAGAATATCTCAAAGTGCAAAAAGCTGAGATGAGATAAAAATTGGACGTCCATTTGGCTCACCCACCCCGTCCTCCCCTTCCTGACATTATTTAAAAAATACACAGTTATAAAAAAAGGTATGAAGCGTCAATAAACACTATTGCTGCAAAACCCCAAACAAAATGTTCAGTGGATAATCCTCGGATAAGCGACATCGAGGCTGTGTTCAGCACTTACTTGAAGAGTAACGTGATACTGATCGAGTTACGTCTCCTACCTGACTTAAGAGTGTCTTGAAATTTCCCTTTTCGAAGGTCGGAGGACAGATAGTTTTGTAATAATCACTTTGAAATGAATCAAGAAGAAGATTTCTGAGGTTTATTTCTCAAGATCCAGTTGGTATGCATGCATATGTCTTTTATGGCTTTTGTGTCATCATCAATTAACATATTCTTTCACGCGCTCCAATGCTAAAAACGCGGCGCGACCGCGCGCACGCAACGAGAGATGCTTTTCGATACCTTCCGCTCGGGAGGCGGTCGTTTGGCGCGGCCCTCCGCAGCCACTTTGCCAATGGGGCACATGCGCCTCAGTGGCCACTCATACAGCGCAATTTCTGCGTCAACCAACTCGTCCAAAGCAGCTAGCCTCTCGAATCACGAGCAGCTATCGGCTTAGTTAGAGTTGCTTCGCGCCCAGGTGCGAGGCGAACCCGATTATCAAACTCCCAAACATCCTCGTTAATCCAGCTGGAAGTGAAGGAATTGTAAAGATTATATGGAATAATGGTTTGAGAAGAAAATAATAATTAAGCTATCGGTTTCAGAAATTATTATCGTTCACAGGTGGAAACACATTAGTTGAATAGTCATCTAAATGCTTACTTACTTCTTCACGGATGTAAACAAGCATGCAGATGATTACCTAAACCCCTTCTAGCATTAAGTGTCTGGAG